GTGCTCATTGAGACGCGGAAAACCCTGAGGGACCTGAGAGATCTTTACTATTTAGTTTGTGTACAGTTTTCTTTTCTTGTTTTTTTTTTTTTTATTTTTTTGGCATCCTCATGGGCAATTTTCCATTTGCAGAGGCAAGATAACTTTTGTTTGGTTTTCACTTGAGTTTTTCTTTACCTATTCAGCCACGTTTAGCCTCAGCTAAGTTTTCAATTTCCTTATATTTGCTCATGCCGGTTGTTCCTCTTGTTGTTGCTGTTGTTGTTTGCTGTTATTGTTTGAGGTAAAGATTTATGTTTTGCGAGCATTTTATGATATTATCAGCAAATATCAGGTACTTTTCAAGAGACTTGTAGTTGTTTGGCATGATTCTTGACTCATTCGGCAGCGAAAAGTTTAGCTTGTCTGCCCGTTTAATTAACCAACTGCAAAATTGTATAAAGCTCTGACTAAAGTATCTTAAAGATACATCTGTTAAGTGGCTCAATTAAATCAAAACTAAAGGCACTTCAACATTACATGCCATTTATTAAACGAAACACACCCTACCCAACCCCCTGCCCACATACACTCTCTCATATACACACACACACACACACACCCAGAGTTGAGTTGTGCCCGCAAAACCATAAAACAAAATCCCGAACAAAAGCTAATTAAGTTTATGTCACCGGAAATTTGTTTCACCTCAAAAACCTCGAATTGTGTTGAGTTCGGAGCAGAGATAAAATGCACGTGGTCCCCGCTTGGATGTCACACAGAGCGAAACCGAGACGAAGACCAGCATTAGCTGGGCGAGGGGTGTGGTGAAGGGGCAGCGGAACAATCGAGTGAGCTGGGAAAACTCTGAAAAAGTTTTCTACTCGAACTTGTACACACTCATTGGCAATTAATCTGCTCTCCACCAGCTAAGACAAAGGTAATGCGCTGCGGGTGCTTCATCGCTTGCCCCTATTACTCGTGCTCCTACTGTGAGTGTGTGTGTGCGTGTGCGTGTGTGTGTGTGTGTGTGTGTGTGTGTCGGTGTGGGGGTGTGTCTGTTGCAATTTGGATTGCATTTGAACAAAATTTGTTTGCCATTGTAGGCGACAATTTAATTTTCATGCGCAGCAGCGCGAGTGGCACTCAAAGTTGCCACAGGCTGCAAGGAGGTGGTGCGAGCTACGAGCTGCTAATGAATTGATTGGCTTAATTTGCAGCTGCTCAAGTTCAATGGGCATAACTTATTCGGGTGTCAACAAGAATTATTAGTTGGACCGCCAGCTAGTCCAAGAGATTGGCTTGCCAGCCGGCTGCCTCAGTTGATTAACGGCCCTTTGAGTGCCGGGGAGCAGCTTGGGCGACAGGCTTTATGGTATATTTTTATGGCCTTGCAAGCAACTTGGCAAAGTGCAACGCGGGCGGCAACTTATGGGCCATATAAACGGTTCAAGGCAAACGATTGTTGGGACAACTTTTCGCACCTAGCACCGCTGTCAGTTGCCCAATCACAGCTGCCGCCTAAAGTGTCTTTAAAGTGGGCGTGGCATGGCAGAAGCACACTTGACGCTCTATTGACGTCGGGGTCGTGTGACTGCTGTCAGCACTCGAGTGTGTACTTATAACGCGTTCTTTTCTTCTTTATTTTTTTGCGTTTCCACCATTTTCGGTCATAGTCGTTTTGAAACTTTGGCAACTTTTCTTTTGGGCGTGTTTGCACCTTGGCGGTTGTCGCCTGTCAACAACTCGAAATGTTTCCGTGCAATCGCTTTTTACAGCTTCCGAACAATTTGATTTGATTCCATTAAAAAAGTTGCTCTAGTGATTTCCTGTAAAAAGCAACCAACGTTAAGCTGCAGCTGCAATATATGTGTATGTGTATGTCCCAATCCCGGCCCCAGCCGCTTGCTGCACGCGCCGCTGGGTTCCAAATAATTGTGACGTTGGCAGCGCTCTCAAGTGTTGCATACTTTTATGCGAGATCCTTAGAGTCATCGTTGACGTCGATGCATGTCATTTGCTGGCACACTGACAAACTTTTGTGCGTGTATGTGTGTGTGTTTGTGTGTGTGTGCGCGGGAGCTGATGTATTAGTTGCCCGCCATATTGAACGTCAGCGCGTAATGAAAACTTATAACTTTTGATGCGATGCAATTTCAATTGATGACACTTGACGACAACGGCAATTGCCGGCTTAATGCGGACAAATATGCCATCGAGCGAAAGGATGTTGCCAATGGCAAATAATCATGATGGAGCTGGGTAGTCGGGTAGAGCTTGTGATTGTCATAAAATGCTGTAGAGCGAAACTCTATGCATAAGTCGTTGTAATATGGGTTGACTTGTCAAGCTGATACTTGACCTTTAAGAAATTGCACAGTTGCTCTAAGCTGTTGCCTGTTTGCCTTAAGCACTTATAAAACAACAGCTATTCTGCTTCTGGCTTTTATGCAAATCACAAATTGGATTAACAACATTTCTAGCATCCGAATCCTTTTTGGGTTAAGCCAAACTGTTAGTTATATTGTCATCATTCGTTTATGCAATTTACATTTGACATCCGCCCGTTTCAAATTGCGGCGAATTGCAATGAACATGCAATTCGTGTTAGACTATAAGATTCCCTTTAACAATCACATTTTTAGGTACTGTATTATTGAAATTGAAAATTTAAATAAATTAACTAAATTTTCGGACTTTGCATTCCTTATTTTCCCAGATAAAAACACTTATAAAATGAAATTCGGCTGTGAATGCTGATCAAGAAGGTAAATACTCCTTCATCATATCTTCAGGAATATCATATTCTCTGCTTCACACATTTACTTAGCAGTTGTATATCTTCTTTTCGTAGCCATTTGACGCCTTGCTTGGTTACAGGGTATAGAAATGTCTGGCAGCAGTTGCGACATTTTTGGGAGCAGCATATGAAAAGTTTGCGTTTGGCTTTGGCTCCCATGCTGCCGCATAAAATTTATGATGAATTTTCCCCTCGACGCATATTGCAGAACATTTTTGGGACCGTTACATGCCTATGCGTGCATGTGGGCAAGTGTTTGCGCGCGCGTGTGTGTGTATGTGTGTGTGTGTGTTGGTTGGAGGGTTTTCCTCTACTCTGGGACTCGTTGCCATGAACTGCAACCACAGCTGAGCAGGGCAGCAGCTGTTCCAATGCGATGTCGCCCATATTTTGCTATTTTTCGGTTTATGCGTGAAGTTCCATCATGCTTGCCGTTTATCCTTTGTCGTTGTTATTGTTGTTGTTGTCGGTTAGTCAGTTGTTTGACCACATGACGTCCTCGTTCCCAATGTTGCAAGTGTCCCAAGTCCGTTGATGAGTTGTACAATTGAAATTGTTTAAGTGCTTTTTATGGAATTTGGAATATGAATTGCGATGATAGCAGCATACTACCGAGTTTGACTTTTATTGGACAACTAACCGACCCAACGATCCAAAATGAAATGTCATGCAAATTTTGAGCACGGTATTATGTCAGTTTTATATGCGTGCTTTCAGATTAGAGCGCTTCTATTTACTAATATAATATTATATATCTCTCCGATGAAATATATTTTAGTTATTTGGAATTAGACCACTTAGTATTAGGCCATGAATCACATAAAAAGAATAGGCATCGACATGAGGGATAAATAAATATTTGGACACATAAGCAAACTTTGAGATAAATCGCAATTTGGAGCTGATTGGCATGTAAATATAGTTAGCCAGGCTGCTGTAGCTATCGAATTGTCAGGGTAATCATTGAAAGGCCCCGTTATCAAAGAAATGGCGGCCGCAGACTGTAATTGAGCGTGAACATATGATAAATAGATCTAATGGCCCATAATGGCATCACTTAAAGCGGCACTTTGTTGTAGGAAGGCAAATGGAAAATTCAATTTGGATTTTGGTAAGATGCCTTCAATGGGCTTAATGCCTGCGCTTTTGCAATTAGCCAAACAACAAAATGGCCAAGCAAATTGTCAAAGAGCAAGTGAAATTGTTTACAAACCAATTACAAGCGAGAGCTAGACAATGGCAACAGATTCCAGATTTGGGATTTCCAACTGGCTGACCTTTGTCCCCGGCCCTGCAGCTGTGACGGTGGCAGCTGCGACAGCAAAATTAAGCAGAGCGCCAAAAATTGCGTTATCTTAATGAGTTTAAACGTTAATCAGGCTGTGGGCGGGGCAGTATGGGTACTGGGCGCTAAAACGGGGGCGGCATCTGCGAACGGACGAGCGGAAGTGGCCCATGCCGCAGCGGAAATGGTGCAAAGTTTGTGGCAACTGTGTCACAGGTCGGTTCGAGGTCGTTGCGAGACGCTGCGGGCCCGAAAAACAACTTTTTGAACAACAAATTTTAGCTAGCAAAATAGCCGCGCCAACGAGTTGTAGCTGCCACAACGGAAGTTGAAGTCCAAGCGCCGCGGATACATATTAAATTAATAATTTGACCTCATCCAGCAGCAGCCCACTCAAGGCATAAGCCAAATTGCAAAACATCCGCTCGAGAAGATTTCTGTTTTCTGATTGTGGCAAGGACAATGCCAAAGCGTGCTCCGCATGATGGCAACGTTCCGGCCATGTTGCACTAATGTTTCGGCCATAGCGTCTGGCGAGATAAACAATTAAAAACTTTCGCAATTTGCGGTAATTTCACTTCAACTAAGCGCCAGCAAGACCCACTTGCAATTATAATTATGTCATAATTAGAACGGCCAAGTGTTACTCGTACTTTCTTGCCAACTGAATAACCAACTGGACTGACTGAAAGACGGACTGACAGACAGCCAGACTAACTGACTGGTAGCCGTATTGACTTCTCTTTCACTGACCCTGCGGATCATAACATTGTTATCTACTTCTTGTTATCTCTTGTTGACTGATTGAGGTAAGCTTGAATCGCACTGCACACGTTTCTGTTGATTTTGCACACGTTGAACTCACTCATGTACGTATTGAAAATTCAAGTGAGTGCAAAAATATTTCACTCGGCACTTGCCAAGCAGCTACTATAAATATGTTCAATGGAATTCCTACAGAGCAGTAAATTGACATAGAATCTACGTGAAGCACTTCACAGCTTTTAAAGAAAATTGGAAAATGGTTTGCAAGGGCTGTGGCACTAGTAAGTAAAACACATAAATATGAATTTCTATTTCCATATTGATTTCTATGAATTATTATCCCTTGCAGACTGCAAATGCACAGACACCAAGTGCGGTGACAACTGTTCCTGCAACCAGGACTGCAAATGTGTCTGCAAAACAGGCACCAAGGAACAATGCTGCAGCAGCAAGACCAAGGCAAAGTAAGCAGCAACCGTGAAAATTAAACAAAATCGAAAACCCTTATAATTGTCCAAATAAATAGATTAATAATATTTTAATCAATATTTACCGTGGAGTTTCACATTCATAAAATTTTAAAGAGCTATATTTAACTTTAATATTAACCGTCTTTCCATTGTTTAATAATATTTCGGGCTCAAGTCTTGCTATGGCTGAAACCAGAACTATTTTGGCCTTATTAAGATCGTTCGTACCTTGACAATCGAATTTAGGTTTGTGATCTAAATTGACATCTAGATTATTAACTCTTAGTTATAGTGCGTAAGGCGTGGTAATTATAAAAGCTAGACACACTTAATTAAGTATGCACCTAATAACTAGAGGTTATGACGCTGTAGGAAAATGGTATAGGAAAACTGTGTCAACGATAAACAATATTGGTAGCTCGGCTTTCGACTCATCTCTGGCCTTAGGCTAGGTTTGTGAACAGGGCTTAACACATTCGCAGCGAGTTTTTTGTTCGAAGCTTGGCCTGTCATATATTTTGAATTCTTGGAATTTTTAATTTTTATCTTATCACTGCCCATGGCAAGCGAAAGGTTAGGTTACTTTTTATATTTGAGAAAATTTGGTTGCTTTCCTAAATATTTGTGACTTTCAAAATATTTGTAAGTACAAATATCGCATATTTCTTGTCTGTCGGACATACAGTATGTGGAAGTCTGTCAGAGTTGGTGGCTTGCAATATCATATCTATTGTATAATAAGTTTCATTGAAATGCACAAAACATTGTTGCCGTTTTGTTTTTGCTGTTGCTTCAGCTTATGCTGCCCCATTTGGGCAATGAAAAACAACATGCCACACAAAATGATGACACTTGTAAGTGTGCAAAAGCAATTTGGCAATTTGAAGGAGGGAACTTTTTTTGCACGGAGTAAGTATGCGCCGCGTTGGCCACCACAGATGCTAGTGCAATGCCAGTCGAGGGTGAAGTGCTTAAACAATTAATTAACGCTGCTTGAGCTAAACATTTATGCAAGAAACAATGAGAAACGGCTAGACAAAAAGACGCCAGCACACACACAATGTGAAGCTTGCCGCAATGTGATGCCCTCTTAAGCTACAGTGGCAGTGGAGAGGGGACGGTAAGGGCTCCTCTGGGTCTGGCTCATTATGAGCTGCAGCTACTTTAGCCACAACAATGAACGCGAAACACTCCGCAACAGTTCCGCCGGGACTATCTGTTGAGTTTTCAGTGTTGCCTCTTTAAATTTTCTACACATTTCTAATTAGCAGGCTCCATCAGCCACGCCACTCGGCACCCTACGATGGGTTCTCTCCGGCGTTTTGGGGCACTTAGTGCTGTCGTTAAGCTTATAGCATTTTGCAGTATTTGATTAGGCAGTGATTCCTAATCAATTAAGACTGATGGCTTATGGACTTTAGATGAGACGAGACGATTAAGCTTTGGTGTTTGCCTTGTTGACCAAGTGGCCAACAAACTAGCCGCAAACATTTGCAACACTCTCTAACCAAGTTTACTGCACAACACCAACAGAAAGTTTGCAACACTTTTTTGGCTGCCTAACCCCACCCACGCTATCCCTATACAGTTTAATGAGCATCCCTCTCATCCTTGCACAGTTTTACTTTACTTTGCGGCTGTTTGTTGTTGTCTGGTTTATTGTTGTGGTACAGCTTTATTTTCTTGATGTTTCTGCTCCCGTTATTGTCGTTGTTGTTATTGTTGTTGTTGTCTGTGGCACTCGTAACTTTGCCGCAAAATTGCTTGTTTCCGTTTCCGCCTTCTCGCCTTCTCGCCTCTCGACGGCCCTCGGCCGACGCCCACTGATAGATGCCATTATGACCCACACTGGAGGCATACGATTTTCTTGTTGGCTGCCAGCAAAAGTGGGCACTGCCGACAATTAAAGCCAATTATGTTGAAATGTAATTGTTTTAAGCAGATTTTTTCCTCGGCTGTCATGGCTGCCGTCACTTAGCTTTTGACTTTCTGCCGCAATTTTTTTGGGGCACGCACATTTCGGATTGTTTCTATTATTTTGTTTTGTTTTTAGCCGAGAATCGCTCGGGGCCGTGGGTGACATTTAAATCGACTAAATGGCATTGCTTAAACGCAATTTGCAATGAGCCCGTTTAAATAAATTGTCACAATTGAGTTTAATTAAAAACTTTTTAATATGTGTGTGGGTGCAAATAGAATTTCCATGACTGTGTCTGCCGTAAAAACAATTAACGCATCCACATTGTATGTATATATGTTCATGTATATATATATATATATATAAGTATATATATATATATATATATATATATATATGCATATATCTATTTTTGCATGCGTGCAGTTTGGTGAATACAACAATTTCATTTCAGTTGCAGCAAACAAAAAAGAAACATAGAAAATAGTGCACAAAATTGTCCCAGAGGACGAATGTGAACAATAAAATTTATCGTTGTAGTTGCAATTGTTGTATTTGTGTCTGCGTCGCCCACAATGTCGACCAGGACTTTTATTGTTGAGCCACATAATTAATTGTCGTAGTTTTTGGGTGTTAAATAATTAGAAAACAAGTTTTCAAGCCATTAATCACATTGAAGGGTTGCTGCGGGCCACACAAAAAATAGAAAAAGAAATAACCTATGGACTGCTGTCCAATTTAATAGCTTTGGCTTTAAAGCAACCGACGCATAAGCACACACTCGCACACACACACACCCAGCCCACATTCACACACATCAACACCTTTGGATGGCGCGGGGGGGACACAAATTGTGGCAGGCTGCTTGCCTGCTGCTGCATTAGTGAAGGTTGCCCCACACATGGCCCCTGGCCAGCTGTAAGTTGTTCCAAATCACAGAATAATCCCGTAATTTACATAAAATATAGTCATAGGCCAAAGGGCAGGGTATAACGAGGCATCACACACAAGCCAACAAACACACACCCTCTGCTTAGTTGTGTGTCTATTTCATTTGCTGCTGCCGCAATTTGCCCCGCTCAAACATCATTATGTCATAAATTGCTGTTGAATCCTTGATCATTTATTAAATTTGTCCTCATTTTGACTGTGTGGGTGTGTGTTTGTGTGCCTGTATGAGTGTGCTTTGAGGGGTAAGCAAGCAACATTAACAAGTCCGATTTGATATGCGCTGCGTGTGTTATACATAACAAGAGTTTTTACGACCTGACGAAAAGAAATGCTGTTGACCCTGTTAATTATTAGAGGATACTTTAAATTGGGCTAAGGTTATATTACACTCTTCTAATGACTGATAGATATTTATATGGTAATGCGCTTAAAAATGCTGCTAATGAAACGTCAATTATGTGCGCCTCTTTGAGGCAACGCACGTGACCGACTTGTCAACGCTAGAGGCATATCCAATTTAACCCTCAAATGACTGTCATTATGACAGGACCTGCGGCAACAACAATGCCAACAATAATAACAATAACAACATCGTTGAGGGCAGCTCTCGACGCTTTGCCACTGAGTTATTAGCGAATCGTGATTGGCATAAATCAGTACAGCACGAGCAATGAAAGGGGAGACAAATGGATGAAGTGTGGGATGGGGGGGAGAGTTGACCTGGTGCATGCACCTGCCCGACACACTTTGAACTTAACGCTACTTGGCGGTTCTTTACAACTAAAATTTATGAGCGAAAATGTCACTCTGGACTCGGCAATTGGTCTTCCTCTGTCTATGTCTCTCTTTTTCTCTCTCGCCCTTTCTCCTTTCGCCTTGAGCTTATACCCGCTCGACATTGTTAGCCTGAATAAAGTTTAAGTGCGAAAGTATTCGACTAGAAAATGCCCTGTGCAGCAGATGATTGTTTTAAATGACAACAAAATAATTTACGCCTATGTGTTATTAATTTTCATTTTTGATTACAGAAATCACGCATTTGAATTTATGGCTCTATTTCCAGATGCAGTTTGACAAGGATCCGTTCAGTTGGCATGGCTAGATTAACTTACCTGTTTGCCTGATCATGTAAAAATATGTTTGGTATAATGCCTGGTATCTGTATCCGATTGATCCGCTTTACACACATTTCATGTATACAGGGTATTGCAATGCATAACTTAAGCAGGCTTATATCTAGATAGATGTCGTTTATGTGGCATTTATGCTGAAAACGAAAGCATATTGATTTGCTGCTGGCATTTACATAACCGAAATGATATTTTGGAAGCCGCTTTGGCGCATTGCAGACATCCATGAGAGCGTCTCGCTTTACATGCCATTAGAGCAAGAGCTGCAGTTTCGGGTTTGAGATCATTATGCAAATCCATTGTGATAGCGGCTAAGCATCTGCTTACCAGGCCAAATAAAATATATATGTAAAGACCTGTTAAACATTTACCCATATCCTGAGCATTACAATTAACAAACAATGGCATATCAATCGCATTATACTTGGCCCATTCGGGTTGCATTGTGCTTAGCTCGGTGAGGCGCCTTGTTGCACAAAGGATTTAATTAGTTTTTCTTTCATTTGCCCGGTTGCGCAGAGTAATTGCTTTTAACACTTTGGCTGTCTGAAGCGCAGCACTGGCCAAAAATGAAGCATTTTAATGGAAATGGAATTAGGAACATGGTGAATAGTGAATGGCGAATGACGAGCGAGTCCAAGTGGCGTTCATGTCATGCATGGCTCCTCTAATGAAATACTTCGTGTCGTGCGCCTGTCCACATTATTAACAGCTTCCGAACTTTTGAATTTACGAATTAAAAGCGAGAAAGAGAAAAAATGCGCGTTAAAACAGCAGCACACACATACAGGAACACACAAACGACAGTAAAGATGTGAAAAGTGTATTAGTTTTCAGCGCAGTTGCAAGAATCGCAGCACAAAGGCAGCGCTGGAAAAGTATTTAATTTAAATTGTGGCTCAAAGGAAAATTTTTGTCCTGGTAATGGCCACATAAGTAACTGCCATATAGAGCTACATTCCGAGTCGCCAAGTCAAAGTCAGAGTCAGAGCTTCTGCAACATCAACGTTTATTTATTGGTTGCTTGTGAATGTGGTTGTGGGGCCAAGCCCCCTGCCATGACTTGACTCGTGTGGCCA